AAGAAGAAAAGTAACCTTTCACCTCTAGGGTTTAACCATACAATCTCAATCTCCAGAGAGAACTACATATTGTCATTCTCATATATTTTTATGTAGTATGATTATGTTATGTCCAAAGAGGGGAAGCTCTACCTATTTTTGGAAACATAAATATATATACCTAATTCCTTTGAGTCAGAATTATTATTTCTAAAAAATTGATAATTGTTGTGTTGACCATGCAGGATACAGAAATTACATATTTTAGGTATTGGACTTGGGCACCTGGGTTGTGGACAGGAGCTTTTGGAATGGTACCTGTAATAATAAGCAACTGGTCTATTAGAACTATCCTCTGAGCTCTTTCCTGGAGGAGGACTAGAGAGCCTAATGGGCCTGAAGAACAGAAACTGCCATTCAGGGATTACTGAGCCGGATCAGGGAACCGCCATGGTAGTCACTCTCCTGAACACCGAGGAAGCAGCAAGAACATCCGTTATTAACCTGTAGCTACAGTGAAGTCAGGTAGGTAGGTAGTCTCTGCCTTACTTCTACCTTCCAAATTTTCATGCAAATACATGTAGTGGCTGAATCCAATATATATTTGGCATCATAGCAGGTAGGTATTCTGGAAAATGTAGTTTTAAACTTTCCAATTTCTGGAAGGAGAAGAGGATGAACTAGAGATTGAGAGTATCAATAAAAACACGAATGTGTAGTATAATTAAACTCAAATTATAATTATGTATATGTAACTACATAATAATGATAATGTAATTAACACTCACCAATTAGTTGAAAATGGAGATTGAGTGAAATGGAGCAAGCATATTATGCTAATATATTTCTAGCATTCTGATACTTATTTATTTTTTATCAGGACTGGGTCGAGCCTATGCCTTGGCTTTTGCCGAAAGAGGTGCATCAGTGGTTGGTAAGTTGATGTGCTTTTCTTTGAAATCAATAGGTGTTTACTAAAGTATGGTTTTTATATAAGCTATCAAATAATTTGTCAAGATCAAAATTTATCACTAGTTATGTACTTCTAGCAATTTTTTTCCCTCTTGAGGCTGACATTTTTAAAATTTCTGACTGTCTCTCATTTTAAGTAAACTAGTTTTATAGATTTTCACTTTAATAGAATTGATAAAATTGGTTAAATATTCATTGTATAAAAGGTAATTGGGGAAAAAGGGAAAAAAGAGGAGCTGATACTAAGGGCTCAATAGAAAGTAAATATCTAAAAAAGGATGACGGTAGCATACTGTGTCTACTCGAGTATAAGGTGAGTTTTCTCAGCACATTTTTTGTGCAGTTTTTGTGGTAAAATTAGGTGCCTTGGTGGATATTTGTGTTGGCTTATACTCGAGTATATACGGTAAGTACGAATATGCCTGATACAATTGATGTGTGGATTTTAATAAGTTGTAAGAGCCCCCAATAAAATGATCTTTTAATAATTAAAAAAAGTAATTTTTGAACTTAGAAAACTGTAAACTATAATTTTGGAGTAGAAGACTCATCAATTCTTGTGAGATGAAAGATTCCTTATCAATGTAAATATAACAATAAGAGTACGAAATAACTGAATTTTAAGAATTGGAAAATTTGAGCCTGGGACTCCAAAGTACGTGTTTCTTGTCACCTTTGTTAACATTTTCCAGTTGGGAACCTTTTTGTTTTTTAATCGATGGGAGAGTTGGATAAGTGCTTAGTGCAAAGTGAGTGGGTGGGATGAATGTTTTAATGCGATACCTTTTAGGGTCTTTCCTGTGATTGAAGAGATTCTTGTTCCACAGTGACCTACTAATCTCAGCTTTTATTTGGGATTACAGAGGAACAAGTTTCTCCCAAATTTGCTTTTGGAGGAGGTGTAGTAGAAGAATAAACTAGCACCCAGGCTTTCTAAACAACGAAGATCCAAGAAGGGCATTTAATAGACTTTTCTCCTTTATTATAGATGTACAGTTTATATTGTGGAAGGGCCAGAGACTTTGGACATTTTAAGGATCATATCCTTGCCTGCCTGCTAATCTAGTCTGTGTTCATTTAATCTCCTTCCTACAACAAGGAAATACTAATTTATTAAGAAACTCATCGTGAAGGTTTATAAAGTGGGTCATGACTCATAGTTAACAATATCTGTGCACATTTTCCCCATTCATCCACTGCAATCCCATCGGTGTCCGTACCTTGTCTTCTTCCATTTGTTTCTGGTTTCCATTAGTCCTTCTTCCCTCTAAACACTGTCTTTGGTTAATGCTGCTGTTTTGATCTTAAATGGTAGATTATTATGCTGTTTTGATCTTAAAAGATAGTTTAGCTCCATACTTGGAGGTGACTAAGGACCGTAGTCTTGGGAGTCTGACCTGCCTCTATGTAACCAGTAAGCCTGGTCTGTTATGATTGACAGTTCTGTTTGATACTTTTCTCCCACTCTATTCAGGATTTGTAATGCATCCTTTTCAGAGCAGTTGGTAGTAGTAACTGGACATCATGTACTTTATCTGATGGTCCATGAGTCCAACAGGAGTAATTGTTTCCATGAGTCTTGAGTTCCTTCACTCTTCTTTCCTCTGGACTGGAGAGACCAATAGGTGCACCCTAGATGGCCACTTGTAGGGTTTTATGACTCCACTTATATTCGCTAAGGTAGGATGTAGAACATTATTTTTGTGAACTGTTATGCCAATTGACTCGGTGCAAGGACACGGTTTTTGATATTCTGTTATTTGATTAGGGGTTGCCTATCCAGTGCTCTTTGCTCGATTTTCTCACAGTTATTTCATATCAGAGCCTGAAGAGACATACTGCTAACATTCTTCTCTTTTTAAAAAAGTTACTATTTAACATTTTTATCTTACTACTTTTTATTTACTTATATCTTCTCTATCATTTCCATAAGTGCAAAGACCTTATTTTTGTGTGTGTCTCCTAACGGTGCTAGTTAGTACAGCGAACCCTCATTTATCGCGGTTAATCGGTTCTAGACCCTACTGTGATAAATGAAATTCCGCGAAGTAGGATTCCTTATTTGTAACTCAAATATTTTCGTAGTTAGAGCATAGAGGACATGAAAAAACACCCTTTAGTCACCATTACACTCGTATTACCCAATTTATTAAACGAAAAAGGGAAAATACAGTAAAACATTTTGGATGTTACAATTATCATTTATTATTTATTGTATTATTTATGGCATCAAGCATGTACAGTATGAGCCAATCAGTGGCAGTAATGACAGAGCATGTGCTGTTACGCAAAAACCGCGATAGAGTGAAGCCGCGGAAGTCGAAGCGCGAAGTGGCGAGGGTTCACTTTATATTGCCCTGTGCAAAGAAGGTGCTTTTTTTTTCTTAAAAAAAAATTTTATTGGAGGCTCTTATAGCTCTTATAACATCAGTTGTATCAGTCACATTTGTACATTTGTTGCCATCATCATTCTCAAAACATTTTCTTTCTACTTGAGTCCTTGGCTTCAGCTTCTCTTCTTTCCCCCTCCTTCCCCCACCTTCCCACCCTAGTGAAAGCTTGGTAAATGATAAATTATTGTTATTTTCATATTTTACACTGTCTGCTGTCTCCCTTCACCTATATTTCTGTTGTTCATGCCCCTGGGATGTGTGTGGTTATAAGTTGATCATTGTGATCGGTGCCCCTTTCTCCCCCTTCTCCCCCTGCCTTTCTCCCTACACTTATGGTATTACTACCCTCATTACTATTCCTGAGGAGTTTATCTGTCCTGGATGCCTTTTGTTAAGAGCTCTTATCTGTACCAGTGTACGTGCTCCGGTCTAGCCAGATTTGTAAGGTAGAACTGGGCCATGATAATGGGGGGCTGGGGAGAAGTATTAAAGAACTAGAGGAACGTTGTGTGTTTCATAGGTGTTATACTGTTCCCTGGCTGACTCGTTCCTTCCTCGTGACCCTTGGTCTTTTATTGTTGGCACAGTTTGTTTGTTTTTTTTTAATTTTGATTTTTTTTTTTGAGGAGGGTTTGGTGTGTCTGTGATGTTGGTTAATGCATTTTAAATTTTATTTATTTGTTTGATACTGGTATACAAACTTAGCTTACTCATTTGTTTTAGAAATAAAATAGCAGTACCATATGCTTCTTTCAACCTGTTTTCCTTATCTATTACCTTTAAATTTGTTAAAGTTCTGATTAGGGGTATGTGAACCAAGCAAGAAACAAGATAAAATAAACAGGAATAAACAGGAATGTTTTTTCCATTATTCTGCTGTGGCCCTTTAATTGTAAAGACTGTATTTTAGCAAGTGCTGATGAAAGTCCAAAGGGTAGATGGCTTATCTTGGACAGATAAATACTTGGTTGAAGCGCCAGTTTTAGCTTAGTGTTCAAGGAAGAGTTTACTTTTTGTGAAACTACTTTGTGATAGTCCTACCCCTTTTCAATATGTAACCTCTCTCTGAACTTTTTAGGCCACCAGTGGCTTATGCTCCTCTTGAAGCGCCATTAACCTCTGTTTTAGCAGTTTTCACTGCACACATATACCCCCTGCCCCTAGATTGCACAATATGTACTAACATGCACCTTTGGTTAATTTTTGTTATGCTTAGTTTAATTGATCTTAACCTTAGGAACCAAACAATAAAAAGGAACAAACAAATCTGAGAAGAGTGACACATCAGAGTACCTTGTTCGATCAATGGAATAATCTGTCCTCATGGCAAGAAGAATTAAAATCTTGATAAATAAGGGAGCTTGTTTCTTGTGAAAGTCAGATTTTGCTGATTTATGCTGGGGTAACCACCAAAACTTAAATCTCTGTAGCTTTAGAGTTACATACAATTTTAAAGTTAAAAAAAATTTTTTTTATGCCTACTTGACATTTCAGCTTTTGATCAGCTCTGCTCTACTGCATGCTGTCCTGATTTTAGGACCCAGCCTGAAGGAGCAGCTCCTGTTTGGGACGTTGCTGTTCTTGGGACAAAGGGCAAACAGCAATGGTGGAACTACTTGATAGCTCTCAAAAGATTTGTTTACAAGTGGCATACCACTTCTCATATTTCATTTGTCAAAAAAATTCACTTGACCCAAACCCAAATCAATTGACAGTATTTCTGATTGAATAATATACAAAGTTAAAACCTTTTGTGAGGCTGGGTGATAGGTGCATTAAAATGTACTTATTTATTTCTACTTTTATCTTTCAAAATTTTCACAATAAAAAGTTCACAAGTATCTCAATAGATAAATAAAAAAAATAAACCCTTTTGTAAAGGGAAGAGTAAAGATCAGTTACTGATTAGTTAGTGATTGCCTACCATACACTAGACACGGTGTTCAAGAATATAGCAAAGTGAACTTGAGATCTTATTCACTCAGAGAGCATTCTAGCCCCTTATAAAGGCATAACTCAGTCAATTCTGACCCAACGTGACTCTATAGGGCAGGGTGGAACTCCTCCTACGATGTGTAAGACTTTAAATCTTTACGAAAACAGACAGCCTCATCTCTTAGCTGCAGAGTAATTGGTATATCCAAACTGCTAACCTTTAATAAGGTGACCAGATTTTAACATTGGTAAAGCAGAACACCATTGATAAAACTCATATCCTGGTGAAATAGCCACATGGCAGCCGAAAACCGTATACCCTAGCTTGTCGTGCATTCTTTCCAAAAATCGAGACTTTTAAAAAACGC